CAACTTTAACAATGTCACTGTGATCCACCTTGGAGCCCTGGAGCACCTGCCAGAATTGAGAGAGCTGAGGCTGGAGGGGAACAAACTCCGTTCAGTACCGTGGACAGCGTTCCGCGCCACCCCTCTCCTGAGGGTCTTGGATCTCAAGCACAACAAGATTGATGTACTCCCTGAGCTGGCTCTTCAGTTCTTGGCCAACCTGACCTACCTTGACCTATCCTCCAACAGACTTACAGTTGTGTCCAAGAGTGTCTTCTTGAACTGGCCGGCCTACCAGAAACGCCGGCAGCCTGGCTGTGGGGCTGAGGTTCCCTCCAGCCTGGTGGTGGCGCTGCACAGCAACCCCTGGGTATGCGACTGTCGCCTAAGGAGACTCGTCCAGTTTGTCAAGTCCGTTACCCTCCCAGTCATCCTGGTGAATTCCTACCTGATATGCCAGGGCCCTCCCTCCAAGGCAGGGCAGCTTTTTCATGAAACTGAGCTCAATGCTTGCATGAAGCCACAGATCTCAACCCCCAATGCCAGTGTCACCATCTGGGTGGGACAGAATGTGACCCTGCGATGCTTGGCACAGGCCAGCCCCTCACCAACCATTGTGTGGACTTATCCCCTGAGCATGTGGAGAGAGTTTGATGGTAAGCCACATGCACCCCTCAGCATATCCAGGGTGGAATGGAGAGGTCTGTAGCAACCCCGTCCTTATTGGAGAGGTTCTAAACTGGGTCAGTCATGAACGATGGGTTCAGGAGAGATCAAGATAGGCCTGAATTATACTGGCCAGAACAGAAAAGATTCCAAGATAGTGTTCTACTAACAGCATTATTTTAAATGATTGTGCATAGATCTCTCTGTGACATATATATACATATGTAAATACACGTATTGGGGCTGATCCAACATCTTGCATAAATATTATAAAATTGTGTGTGAACAAATATATTCTTTGAGAGTCTTCTAAATGCAAAACACTATTCTGTGTATTTTAGAATTCTAGAATTTCTGACTAAGATTGATTCAAGAGATGATCTATTATTTCCTAAACTTGCATGAGCAGAATCACCTGGGGTGCTTGTTTGAAATAAGATTGATAGGATCTTATTGGCTTGAAGCTGTAATACTGGGGCCTAGGGAGAGAAAGTGACTTCATGGGCCCCAGGACCGAGATTTAAACCTGCCTCTCCTTTCCTGGAGCTCCTTGCTCTGCTTTCATTCCTCAGCTGGAATCATCTTTAATGCCACTCTCTAGGGTTGGACGTGTCACGAAGCCAGAGATGGCCTCCCCAGGGGTATCTTGAAGCTGAAAGGACCTTTGCAGATTCCCACATCTTCCCCTGTGCTCTATCTAGAAGACAACTGGAAATCTCTGCATAAAACTTGAGAAATGCACTCGGTCGCTCAGATATTTGTTATGCATGGTGACAAAACTTTGGATGGTTAAAAAAAAAAAAAAAAACAATTAACTGAAATTTTCACTTTCCCCCAGCATTTTGGTCACACCTTATTGGCTTGAGATTCAATACCAACAAAGGGGAAATACAGAATTGATTGTTGTAGCCTCTTTGAAAACTGGGAAATGAGTCCAGATGTTGTTTGTTATGATGTTCTGCAATCACTCTTGAGCACTGTTGTATTCATTCTCTCAGTAATAATAGAAGCTTAAACTTACTGAACGCTTACCGTCAAACTTTTGAGGTGAATGCTATTATCATCCCATTCTACTGACAAATTGATGCCAAGAGAATTTAAGCAACTTGCCCAGGACCCTATACTTAGTAAGGAATAGAAGTCCAGGCATTTGGCTCCAGGCTTTGTGGCACATCTGGAAAGTAAGACGGTACTTTCTGAATCTCACAATACCGCACAGTGACACAGTTTCAAGAGATCTCCTGAAAGCCACAGTTCAGCAAGGCCAAGGTGGTTTGGTGGGAGCAGTTAGTGAAGTTGAAAGAACGTGGTCATCATAGGTAGAAGGACTGGGTCCTAGATCAATTGTTGCGTCTGAAGAGCTCTTGCTATGGGCAAGTTGATTGATTGCTCCAATCCTCAAAATCCTATGTGTAAAAATCAGTTACTTACGGGGTTGCTGGGAGGCAAACACCTTACACCAGGTACAAGCTTGGTAAGTGGGTACCACCTCCTCTTAACAAAAAACTGGCATTGCTGGACACTCTCCAGCGGTCTGTCAGAGGAATGCACAGCTGTTTTGCTCTTCTCTTTACCCAGTGTTCACCTCTCCTACCGCAGAGGACGCTGCTCTGTCGGAGCTGACCATACCCGCTGCCCACCTGGTAGACAGCGGCAACTACACCTGCGTGGCCTCCAACTCCATCGGCAGGAGCACCCTTGTCATCTCCCTCCGTGTCCAGCCTGCCCCAGCCCTGCCTGCACCCCATTCTCTGTCCATCCCCTCGGAGGGCAATGCCTACGTTGACCTGCGGGTGGCCAAGCAGACGGTGCATGGGATCTTGCTGGAGTGGCTTGCGGTGGCCGATACCCCTCAGGAGGAGTGGTTCACCCTCTACGTTGCGTCGGATGAAGCCCTCAGGAAAGAGGTGGTCCACATTGGCCCTGGGATCAACACCTACGCCGTGGATGACCTCCTTCCTGGCACGAAATATGAGGCCTGCCTCAGCCTGGGGGGCCAGCCCCCACACCAGGGCCAGTGTGTGGTCTTTGTGACAGGCAGAGACAGTGGTGGGCTAGAGGCCCGCGAGCAACTGCTGCATGTCACCGTGGTCCTGTGTGCTGTGCTGCTCGCGGTGCCCGCGGGCGCCTATGCCTGGGCGGCCCAGAGCCCCTGCAGCTGCAGCGAGTGGGGCCTGCGCTGCTGTCCTCATCGCAGGAAAGCCCCCAGGTGGCCCCCTGCTGTCCCACAGTGCAGGGACCTCCCAGCTGTCTATGAGGACAGTGAGGGGCACATGGACCCAGAGGGGGACGAGGAGAAAGAAGGAGACAAAGACAGCAGCTGAGCAGCCAGGGCCATAGGATGGAGATGGTGTGGGCCTCTAGCCCCTGCAGCCAACCCTCCATGGAAGCTTGCTTGGCTCCATATATTTGTTCAACAAGTATTTATTGAGTACCTACTGTGTTCCAGGCACTGAACTCAGCACAGGGGTTCAACAGAGGAAAGGGGGACACAGTTCTTATTTTCATGGAGCTAAAGCTAGTAGAGTCCTAGCTAATTCTTTTATCATTCATGGTGACTGGAAATTAATCAGTGTTACTCTGTGCATATACATAGCCCTGTGACACTAACATTTGCGGGTAACATTTACATATGACATTTCACATACGTTATCCTGTAAAGGAAGGTAGAATTCTACCCCTTTTTATAGAGGAGGAAACTGCAGCCTGGAAAGTTCAGTGATTTGCCCAACGTTGTCCATCTGGCAGCTGGAGGAAGCACCACTGAACAGAGGTTCTAGTCCCGTTGCTTCCTCAGATGTCTGCTTGGCGGTGTTCTTGTCTCCTATTGTTCAGAAAGTGTGACTCTCCCTCTTCATGACAAACTCCTGATGAGACCGTGTAAGTTTGATGTTCCAAAGAGCCGACCTTCAGGGCGATGAGACGCTGGTGGGTGATGTGAGTCTCTTCTTGTGGGTGTCTGTCTGTGCCCCTGTGAGCAACCCCTGGGGCTGCCAAGCAGGCTGGTGCTGTAAGCACTGAGAACAGAGGATTGGCTGAACCCGGGCCCCAGGCTTCAGGGGCTGCCGGGAAGCAGGGTCTTGAGAGGCACACCCAGAAGGAAGAGCATCCATGTGAAATCACGTGATTCTATTTGTCATCTGTCTATCATCTTTTTTTTTTTTAAACAAAGAGGAGGCTACCCAGTCCTGATTCTCACCTAGTCCCATAGGATTTTGAGCTTTGTGTTTATTTTTTTCAGCCCCACATCCTGCACACCTTGGTGTCATATAACAAACACAACAAATGTTTGTTATATGAATAAGAGAACAACCTGCCCTTTTCCCAGAGGCACTGCCGCAGGCCCTCCTATGGAATCCGTGGGAGCTAGTCGTTTCCTCTTAGCCGGGCTCAGGTGGAATGGAGGAGCCCCCAGACCCCCAAAGTCAGCTCAGTGTCCTTCTGGGAAGCCCTGCTGGGGGACAACTTTCCCAGGATTTAGACCTGCATCTGCTTCCCTGCCGTTTCTCCCACTGGCCACAGGGAAATCCCCTAAGGATGTAAATATAAGCTGACCTCATTGTGACATCCCCACACCTGTTTTCTCCCTCCGGCCCACCTCCTCACCAGTTCTACTCATCCTTCTAGCACCCTCAAGTATGTATATCATGGCCTCCAGGGAGCCCTCCTTGATGGCCCATCTCTGGGTGGTGGGGGAAGTGCACACAGTGTCTCCGTTTGTTGTGAGCCCTTTGGGGGCAGAGGCTGCCCTTCCTCACCACGGCCACGAGCCCACCCAGTAGAGCACCTGGACTGTGTTGCTTACAATATATTTTTAAAAATTGAAGATAGCTCTCATATTCTGACCAACAGTCGGAATTTCTTTAGATTCTACTCATTTATTTCTTCTGGGCATTAGAACAAAAACCACTTTTTCATGGAAATTTTTAGTCATATCAAAAGTAGAGATAATCTTTTTCTTCCCCTCAGTCAGCTTCAACAAATTTTAACATTTTCAGTCTTATTTCACCTGGTCCTTGCCCTCAACTTTTTTTCTAAACTGGAGTATTTTAAAGCAAATTCAAAGCTTCGTACCAGTTTACCTGTAAGTATTAATATTTTAGTTTGAATTCTAATAGATGAAGAAGTTTTTAAAAACATAATCACAATGTTATCATTGTTCTTAAGAACATATATTTTTAAATTATATGAACACATATATTTTTAGATATGCACACGTGTACAACACACAGACACATACTTGTAATGTAGTAGAGAATTTGTTTATGAGAAATTTTTGAAGGAAAGTGGTTGGAGCAAGACAAGAACTTCCACTTCCATTGGCCTCTGTGTGCTTCCTTCCATAGGGATCAAGGGTGGTCTTCGGGTCTGGGAGGGTGCAGTATTATGAGGTGGCTTCGGCTGCATGAAGGTGGGGTGGACATTCTGACCCTCACTTCCAGCAAGGGAAGCTGGGTGGTGGCCATGGACAGAGGGCTCAGGAGGAGAGGAGTGAGCAGAGCAGGAAGAGTCAGGAGCATGTCGGTGGGCATGGTGGGGTTTAGCTGCCTCTGTGAACATGGAAATTTAGGGAGAGGGGATATGGTCTAGAGATGATTTCTGGGAATCTGATACTTTTTAAGACCCTTGGGCTGCCCCTTTAAAAATCCTAGGGTAAAGATTCACATTATTCAGATTGAGTAGGCAATTTGACAGTAAGAATAAAAGAATAGACTCTGGAACCCAGTTTCTTGGGCTTAAATTTTGGCTTTGCTTTTTACTGGCTTTGTGACATCTGGGAAGTTACTCACGTTTTTTGTGCCTTAGTGTTTTCAGCTGTAAAATGGGGATGATAATAATAGTACCTATTTCTTAGGGTTGTTCTGATCATTATATGAGTTTTTTACATGTAAACTCTCATAACAGTGTCTGGTACATAGTAAACCCTCGATAAATGTCACAATAATAAATGCTACCATCACTTAAGGCGTCTGTGTCATTTTGTGCTTTCTTTGAATGTGACTCAGCATAAATTTTGGGCCATTTGTAACATCAGATCTTATTAGGGCTACATACATGTGTGTATATTTATAAATACATGTGTAAGGACATGGGATCTATGCTGATATCCTTCACATGTTCTATTTAATTCATGCTGAAAAGATGTTATAGTTTTAGATTTAGTTGTCATGCTCTTGGAAACCTTCTGTATTTAGAGTTTAGACCATGTAATTGTAAGGCAAGTGCCTTTGATTCAGGAGACATTTGTAAACAGGGCTACTTGCTTTTATAATGAAGCCATCTCTAGTCCCAGGACTCTGCTGTTAGCAATTCAAGGGAAAAATGTTGTGCTTTTTCTCTTTTCTTCTTTTCTTTGTCTTGTTAGAGCTTCTATACCTATCACCTAGAAGAGAGGCTAACACAGATGATACACTCTGAACATGTGTCACTATAGAAATGACGGAGTGGATTATCGAGTAACGAATAAATGACTGGACCTTATTCAGCCAAAAAGGTGCACTTGCACAATTTCATAATGTCCCACAGATGTCCCCAACATCGGCCTGTTGCTATGCTACTTTGCTGATCAAATGATGATAGCTTAAGCCATGAGCACCTCATTCTGGAAACTAGGCCCTTCAGAGCATTCCCCTCAGGTTTTTTCTGAGTCTCCTAAGGGGTCCTACATGTGCCCACATACCAGTCTGCTTGCCTTAGTCCTCATGCAGCATCGTATCCATTCTCCTGTCCATCCTGCTGTGGCCGGGGCCCTTGAAGACTGTCGGGGAAGCATCACCGCCTGCTGACAGATGCCAGCACCCATGCCAGGTGTGCTGGCCCCAGATTCTCTCAATGCCTCCAGTCCTCAGAGAGAACTACTGAAGTCCTTAGAGAAGCAGGGCACCATGGCTCCTCCCTAGCTCCTGCCACACTTTGCAGCTGGTCTTGGAGGGAGAGCTGCTTCAGGACAGAGGCCCTCGGGTTCTCTTGGGGGAAGCTCGTCTCTCCTCACTCCCTTGGAGTGTGGATGCCCAAGGGCAGGCTACAGGCTGCACAGTCACAGATGCTCTCGCTTCTGCCCTGCCGTCCTCTGCTTCCCTGGCCAGCCGCTCTCCCCTCTTCTCCTAGCATAAAGTGAAGATTCTGAGCCTATCGATGGGGGTGAGGATGCTTGGAGGGGGTCCTCTCCTCCAGGACATGGTGCTCTGGTATGTGGGCCACAGTCCTAGCAGGTGTCTACTGAGTTCGTATCAGTAGATATGAAGCCAGAGCCAGGTGCTTTACACATATTAGCTCCTGTCATCCTCACAGCAGCCATTCTTTGCACCCTGTAGTGATAAGGAAAGCGGAGCCCACAGAGACTTGGTTTCTTGCCCAAAGTCACACTTAAGTGCTGGAACTAGAATTCAGACCTAGGGCTGTCAAACTGTAAAGCACTTTGGTATTTCATCTGATTAGAGAGTCTGAGCTCAGCCACGGGAGGAAAATGACTCTGTGGAGTTCCCTGAGTCACATCTGTAGACTGTCCATGCTTAGGCCAGGAATGGCTGAGCCTGTGCAGTGTGCCATTCCTGCCCCCAGCCCTCTACTTGGCGGCCTAACACTGTGCCAGCTTACAGGTCCGGGCCTGACCCAGTGCCACTGAGCAGGCAGCCCCTCGGCCCATCATTCCGTTGCCTAATGTGGGGACTTGGTTGATCGCATCCCACGGGTGGGGGCTCCTCCAGCGCTGACCACATTTGCTGGTCCCTTAGGTTTGGCTGCAACATCGTCCTTTCTCCCAGTGTGGCTCGTGCTGGCTGTAGCACTTTCCCATCCGTGGCCAGTCTGAAAGACTGGCTCTGTCTTGGTTCAAGTTCCTGGCTTGTGCAGGAGCCCACCCCACTCCCAGGGCCCACATGCTGGCCTGAGCTTCTAGTCCAGATGTCTCCACAACCACTGTCCCAGAGATGACCCCACCTCCCAGGCTCCCATGCACAGGCCAGGCCTCCCAATTCCCACCCTTGCCTCAGATCCCATTCCTCTCCAAGCGGCCCTGTCTGGGCTTGTCCTGCTTGGGAGAAAAGCCAAATCCAGGTAGACAAGGTCTGTCAGAACAAAATTTTTCAGCCTCCCTCAGAGTCAGATCTGGGAGTCAAAGAACAGATCCACCCACAAAGGGGCTAGGAGGCAGGCTGAGCTTGGCTGTGTGTTGGGAAGATTGGTCTCCGTGGGTCAGCAAACACAAATGAAAGCAGGAAGGAGGAGGCCAGCTCGGCCTTCGGTTGATAGATTTTATTTACCATTTACAAAAGAGGTGGATTGCATGCAAGTTGTAAGGATGCTGTGTTCCCTGAAGCACAGGCTGCAAAGTGTGCGTTCAGTCTGGGATGCTGGCTTGCGAGAGACCACCTCGCACTTAACACTGCCCGAGTCAGGGACTGCAGAAGCCTCTGCGCACTGGCACATCTCAGTAACAAAACAGACTCAGAAATCAAGAAAACCACATGTGTATATAATCTGTTTAAAGAAAATCACTGATGTATTCTAGGGGAGTTATTAGTGAGTGGAGCAATATTCAGAGAACTGTTTTACTTTTCTCTCCCTGTGTACATGTCTAGGTTTCCTGAGAGCAGGTTCCTTAAACCTCTTTGTATTAACCTTAGAGAACTTGTGTGATTTCTCTCCTGGGGGAGTGTGTCAGTAGGTGATGAGGTGTGCCCCAGCTACAGGAAGATGCCAAGGAGCTGGGAGCCCTCAGACCAGATCCCTGCTACCAACCTGCTGTGTGGCCTTGGGCAAACCACTCCTCTCTTGGGAACTTGTTTGCCTCATCTTGGCAAAATGAAGGCTTGGACCGGATGTTGCTGCCCAGCTCTGGTTCTCTCTGATGGCGGCTGACCAGGGCCGCACAGGGCACGGGGTGATGGGAGAACGGAAGGGGAGGCGTGTGAGTCACAGACAGTGCCATCATCCAGTGACAGCCCCAAACCCAACACAGCGCCTCCTGGGGCACTTAGCAGAGTAGCCACGAGACTCCTAATACTTTCTGGAAGAGCTGCAGACTCCTAATACTTTCTGGAACTAGCCTGCAGAAAAACACTGTGCATTGATGCCCCTCTGAACTTAGTTAAAGCCCTCATCACTGCTATTGTCTTTGCTCCTCACCCTAGACCTGCAAGTGAGGCAGACAGGGCTTTCTTTCTTCATTTGACAGTTGAGAGGAAAGATGATCAGGGAGTTTAAACAGCTTTCCCAAGGTCACACAATGTGAGCAGAAGAGCCAGATAAAAACAGAAGTCTCCCCAGACCTCAGTCCTGATATCCATCTACCACCCTGAATTGCCTCTTCAAGGGTGACTGGGGGGCCAGCTCTTCGGAGAGGGGCTTGACACTCTTCCAGGTGCCTTTAGGGCGACCATCACGCTTCCAGCTTGGACATTTCCGGGTCCAGGGCAGTCCTGGCTGAGGACATCTGCCCTCACTCTTGGCAAGGCCCATCTTCCACCTCCATGTCCCTGGTCCCTCATGGGCATAGCAGGGGCCCCTAGACTCTGCCCAGATGCCATGCTCCCTCTTTCCAATGGTGTTCAGGCACAGCCCCGCAGCCACTGTTTTCGGTGCACCTTTGCCCTCCGTGTATTTGTTGTGTCTGTATTTGCTCTCCCGCAGCTTGCAAGGTTCACTGACCTCCAGCCCAAGCCAGGGTGAACCTTCTTTTCCTGCTCCTGCTCCCAGCTGCAGGCTTTAGGATCCAGAGTCTAGTTGGCTTTGTTCCATGTGGCCAGGGCCCTGTTCCTTGATTAAGGACGATGAGATCCCAGTAGGACCCAAGGAACTATAAGCTCTGGCGTTGAGCTGGCTCCTTGTCAATGGCCAGCCCTGGAGAGTGGGGAGCAATGTAGCTGTGTCAAGGACTTGGATCATGGGGAAGTGGTTGCCAATTGTGTCCCATATCCCGAGAAATCTTTTGCCCAAGGCCTGTGCAGAGTCCTGTGTATGGGGGTGACACCATTCTACAAAACACAGGTGACCTTAAGGAGCAGAGGGTGGGGAGCATGGTCCAAGCGGTGGGGTGGTGGGGGTCGCGGTGAGGGGGACAGGAAGGGTCACAGGACATACTCTAGAAGTAAGCCTTGCTGTGCTTCTCAAACTTTTGCTTGAGCTCAGAGACCAGAGTTGCCTGGGTGGGGCTTCCCACAGTTTGGGGTTTTGGTGACAGCTGGTGCTGCTGGGGAGTGAGTGACCCAGAGACTGTGGGCACAGTCCACTGGGCCGTGCCTGTGCTGGGTGCTGTGCTGGGTGGTGGAGGGAGGGCCGGGGCTCTGGGGGGCAGGGAGCTTTCTGGGCTGTTGTTGTTGCAGTTCTCACTGTGAGGATCGTCTTTGAGCATGAACTTGGTAGCGGCCTTGGTCCTCCTGGGCTTGAGCCACTCCATGCGGATGGCGCGGGGCGCAGGGCTGGACCGCTTGCGGAGCACACGCCGCACGGGCAGGACCTTGTTGGACTTCTTGTTGCGCCAGAAGGTGGCAGTGGAGATGAGGACGGTGATGGCCACGATGGTGGCCATGATCCCGGCCAGCACACCCACAGCCTTCATGGGATTGTCCTTGGTCTGTATCAGGAAGGCCGCCATGGGGCTTCGGGCCAGCGTCTGGAAGAAAGAGCCACCCCTGCATTCAGCTGTTCCTGCCTGGGCCCTGGAGGACAGAGCAGGGCATGAGCTTCCTTAAGCCTGATGGCTTTTAAACTTTCTGGGGTCAGGACCCCTTTGAGAATCTGCTAAGACCTATGGGCTTCTGTCTGGGAAAATGCGCACGGAGAGACAGAAGTGATGCAAACAACCTCTTCCAGACTCAGAACTGGACTCCGTCCTTTAGAAAGTGCGATATTGCTTACCTTTGATTATGAGGGGCCCTATCCAACCACAGGATCAGGAATCCTTTCAGTGACTACTTTTCTGCTAGGCACTGAGCTGAGAATGACATAATGATTTTACTTCTGCCTTCACCCCTGTGAAGGAGGCATCATCATTACCATTTTACAGGAAAGGAAATGGAGGCTTGGCAAAGCCCAAAGTCACACTATTGATAAGTATTGAAACTAGAATTTCAACCTGATCGGCACAGGCCGCCTTTATAGCATCCAGTGTCTTTTGGAGGAAGCCTAGAGATGGTCCTCCTCCCTCTGCCCACATTGCAGAGGCCTGAGCTGGCCCTTTGACCCCTTTTCCTGACCGTGGCTTGTACCCACCTCAGTGTCTGTGATGTCAATCTTGAGTAAGGCCGTGGTGCTGAAGGAGGGGGAGCCGCGGTCCTTGGCCTGCACCTCTAGGGACCACGTGCAGTCCCCGCTCTGCGTGATGTTGTGCAGGGCATCCAGGGAGCGGATGGAGTTCTTGAGCCAGATCTCCCCCGTGTGCGCGTCGATGTCGAACACGTTGACCGGCTCTGCCCGGGTGATGGAATAGTCCACCAGGTTGTTGGGTTCTTCTGCGTCTTCGTCTGTGGCCTGTGCGCGGGGAGAAACAGACCCGAGGCGAGCTTTGGGGACCAGACCTGTGTACATTTGCTAAATCAGAGATCCTGTGGGGCTTGCTGGGTTGATGAAATCTCACCCCAAAATAGGACTCCTTGAGATAAAGAGTATTTTTAATTAAAGGCCCATAGAGATCAACGTGCCTTGGAAGCAGCTTTCCCTCTTTCTTCATAAAAAAACGGACCCATCAAAAAGAACAATCAATTTTCCTTCCTCTTCCTCTTATCTCAACATATTGTGGTAAAGAATATCAAGAATGCAACCAGACCTGGCCTGACGTGTCGCTTGGGTTAATTTAATTTCCAAACAGAATCATTCACAACCTGGCTCCCCCCATCCATTCATTCTTCCAAGTATCTATTCGTCCTCCCTAGTAACCATGTATTGCCCCTAAACAGAATTACCCATATTCCTCATCTCCCCCCACCTACAATGAGGGTATATAAATTTCTAGACCCCATTGGGATACTGAGCAATCACGCTGTGATTCCCCCCATGTGCTCAGTAAATAAATCTCTTTCTCTTATTAATCTGCCTTATTGTGAGTTGATCTAAGGTGAACCTTTGGGTGGGGGGTTAAGAGGAGGTCTCCCCTCCACCCCACAGTTGCTAAGTGACTTATCCAAGGTTATAGAGGTAGAAGGAAGGGACCTGGGATTCTAAGTCAAGCCTGCTGGGTTTCAGAGCTCACACTTTTTGCCAGGTGGAGAAGACAGTGAAGGGCGGGGGAGAGCCCTGAGGGCAGCAGAGCAGCTAGGGAACTAAGGCAAGCCCAGCACCTGATCCCCCATTTGTAATGTGGAGAAAATGGGCTCCTTCTCAGAGGTTGCTGCTAGGTTGGGGTGGGGACAGGGATATACAGAATACCTTAAAGTCTCCTGTCCATGGTAGGAATCCGGTAAATTTTATTTCACACTAAACTCTTATGCCCCTGTGTCTTTTGCAGCTGCTGGAACCAGGCTTTCAGGGGAGTGCAACTGCCTCTGAAACCCACCTCGATTTTCACCGGTGTCCCCAGCACCATCGTCTCCTTCTGGATGCTCTTTTTAAACTGCGGGTAGTGGTCATTGACATCCAGCAGGGTGATGAACACCTCGGCCAGGCTGTACTTGCCCTCCACGTCCTCGGCCTTCACGTAGAAGTTGTACCTGGCGATGGCCTCAGCGTCCAGGCTGACCCAGGGCTGGGTGTAGATGAGCCCAGTGGTTGGGTGGATCATGAAGCTGCCAGGCACAGAGAGTGCAGACACGGGTGTGCATGTGTACATACACGTGTGCACACGCGTGTGTAAACACACACACACACACACACACACACACACACACACACACACACACACACACGAGCTGCCTCCAAAGCCTCAGTGAGGCATCACACAGCTCCTCCCAGGTGTCCCACCTGCTCCCTCCCCTCCCTGCAGTCTGACCGGGGGAGGCAGATCCACCTGTGAACTCACCCATCCGTAATATCACTGTTGAGCTTGACAACCCCAGGGGCAGTCCTTCCCTCTCTTCCCACGGCCTGCCCCCACCCCAGCCCAGTCCTGTCTCCAGGCCATGACAATGACCTTCCTCACCGAGTGTGTCCCTCAGGCTCTCCACTGCTCCCCTCCCCAGCGCAGGTCCTATTCCCCCCATGCCCCTCCACCCTTAGCCTCCCAGGCCCTGTCCCACGTTCTGGAAGGACTTACAGCTCCGCCCCAGTCCCATAGATGGAGTATTTGACTTCGCCCCAGGGTCCTGTGTCCGGATCCATAGCCTGGAAGAGAGAAAGCTGCTGGTGGCGCATGGTGGCGCATGCCTCATTGTCAGGGCATGTTGGCAGCTCTTGTGTCTGAGGGTTGCTTTTAACCAGCAAAGCAAGGGAATTTGGGGGTTGTCCCAGCTGGGGAGAAACTGATCTGGAGGCCTGCTCTGGAGCCCTAGTTTTCCTCCAAGGAATTGTCATATGTTGAAGGAACCAAACGGTTTAGATCTGGAAGGCATTTATTCCTCCTTCATACATGAGGAAGGAGAAGGAGACGGGTCCCGTGCCCTGTGCCTGGGGTTTACACATATGTATGTCCCACTGCAGTCCTGTGAGGTGATGGTGTCCCCATTGTGTGGATGAAGAAACTGAGGCCAAGAGAAGGCAAGTACCTGGTCCAAGGACAGCTAATGAGTGTGGGCTTTGCCATTCAAGCGGAACCTGGATTGGTCTCACTTCACAAGGACCCTTACCCCACCCTGGTTCCCGGGCCAGTCCCCAACCCACTGTGACAGCCACCACGTTGGAGCCCCCTGGGGCATTCTCGGGGATCCTGGCAATGTAGTAGTGGGAGGTGAACTTGGGGGCATTGTCATTGGTGTCCAGGAGCTGGATCACAACATCTGCCGTGGAGCTGAACTTCTCTGGGGTGTTCACCTCGATGGCCAGGAGCTGGGAAGGAAGGAAAAATGGGGACTTCACTGGTCGGACAGTCACCCCACGGAGACTGTGCCACCTCCGTCTCCCAGGGCTGCTCCAGCACCCACCTGCCGTGTCTCCCGTTCTGGCTCACAGCTGCCACTGTCTGCAAGGGTCACCTGTAAGGCCCGACATCACGCCCCGCGCCCCTTGCCATGCCAGCTTTCTGATCGCTCCCATTTGCAGGGCCCAGTTTGTTTTGTTCCACTGAGCTGCACGTTCCCTTCTAGTTCCAGTTTCCTGACTATTCTTATAAGTTTATTTCTCCGGATTAAAACCAGTATAATTTTGTCAAGGCTTCTCACGACCTCTCCAAAGGAAATTCTAAGGAAAAGTTAATTGGGGTGACATTGAATTCTTTATTAACTTAAGGAGAATTGGCATTTTTTAAACACAGTATGTCTTTACATTTCCTGCTTTCTCGACATCCCTTTGTGAAATTTCGCATTTTTTGAC